TGTGCGTACCGGTTTTTACATTCTATCTGGCACCGATGCCTAGAAGAAATATTATTCGGCACCGGTGCGCACCCGTGCACAACCAGTGCCGATAAAATATTTTTTTGTAGGGATGTCCAGTCATTTCTATATATTCACATTGAACGCACAAAATCAAAATTTCGAATTTCATTGGTCAAAGCAGATCGAAAAGACAAGACAGAGAAAAGTTTGGCTCAAGAAAGTCAAGCGCATGAGATATTCAAGCGCTTGAGATAAGAATCTTATGCGCATGAATTTCTTGAGAAACTCAAGCACATGAATCGGTAGAACCCTGAAAGCTTTCTGAGAACCTTCAACCTCCTAGGATTACTGCTCATAGATGCTTAGTGCCTAATTATCTGTTTCGTCATCGTTTCTTACATAATTATTCGACTCCAGCACTTCTCACTTCTTTGAGAAAATTTTTTCGCTTTCAGCGTATACGAGATCGTCTATCTTAGCGTCCTCTATTACATTTAACCCTTCTCACTTCATTCTGATAACTAAAACATGTCTGACATGATTTCTAACTTTGCCTTAGTTGTCTTCGACATATTTCTCAGAATGTTTAAAATGAAATTAACGTTTACTTCCTCTCTCTTGTGATTGGCTCATCCAGGAAATGTCTGACAGACATTTTTTCATCATATGTTGCGGACAAACACACACATAACACAACTCTTTTGTGAGATCTTTGACTAAAGTCCTGGGAATAAAAAATTTTGCCTGCATCTATATTTAAATTATAAAAATCTCTCCTGCGCACGAAAAGTTCACAAGCCCTAAACAATGACTTCATGAGATATCATCTAGTCGCATTCAGTCTTCAAATCGCTTCCTTTACAAGTTTATTTGCAGCGTCGAGAGTAACGACCTTGGCAAAACTTGGACGAAATAGCAGGAGAAGAGTAGAAACAATTAAGCGTTTAATGCAGTGTTTTTAATAGGAATTTTTCCAGAGTAGAACTTTCCACTTTGCTGTTAGCTTTAAAGTGGGATTTTTCACTTTGATATGAAATGTAAAGTGGACAAAGTGGGAACAGTCGAAATTTTCGTCTAATAGTGTCTAAAAGAGATTTTTATTGTCACAGGGGTTTTGTTCTATCACTTTGAGTTAAATGAAGCGAAATTAACTTCTCTGCCCTGATCAAGGAATTTCATCCACTAATCAAAGGCTAGATGTAGAATGAAGAGGGGAATATTTCGGGGTACTTACCAGGGTGCCCAAATCCAATTTTTCGAAATCAGGAGCTTTTCGTTAAAAATCAGGAGTTGGTCAGGAGATTTTTTTCGAAATCAGAAGAAAAACAGGAGAGTATCAGACAGTTTTTTCTTCGACAAGCAAAACAAAAAAATCCAATCACTTTTTCAAAAAGATAGTGTTTTTTGAAATATTTTTTGATGGAACAGTATTTTCATTTGTTACAGATTGCAGTACGGATTGAGGAAGAAGTTTTGATCCAGAAATTTTGCCACAATAAATATGCCATTCGATAGAGAATTTGTCGAGCTACAATTTGGTATATATAATATAGAGCAAAGTGTCCTAGGACACCTTGACATTAGAAATGTTTCTGCAAAGCCACAATTCCGCTCATAATTTTCAATTTTCTCCATCAGAATTCAACTTTTATGCAATAAAAATGTTATATCCGGGATCAGGATCAAAAACTAAGCCGATCAATATGCATTTCCATCCTGTCTGACTACTTTAGTTTTTGTCGAATTTTCGCGTTAAAAAATTACTGAGATTTTCACTAAAAATGAAAATCAAGTAAAAATTTCGAAATACACATTGGTCGACTCAGTTCTTCATCCTGATTCCGAATATTATATTTTTATTGTATAGTAGTTGAGTTCTGATGGAGAAAATTGACAATTACGATTCTGGCTTTTCAAAAACGTTTCCAATGTCAAGGTGCCCTAGGACACTTTTTTTCTCTATATTATATACATCAGATTGTTTGCTTTTTGTACTTTCAGACTGAGTATATTCTATACTATTCTCCTCCTGTGATAATTGATTTCACAATGAAAATAACATCGGATATTTCACCTGTTGCAGCTAGATGAATAATAAAAGTGGAGCTTGAAGAACTGGAGTTTTTGTGGCTCCTGAAGAAGAGAATATAGTCTGTTATGAAGGAGAAAAACACTTGAAATTGCTATATGAAGTGTTGATTTCTTACATTTTCTTTATTTAGTTTTATATACGCGATTCGGCTTACAACACAAACGTTAAAAAAGAAAAGAATGTCCAATCCTAAATGGAATTTATACTATTGGCCAGGAGTAAGTAGAGTTCCAGATATCTACATGGCATACAAACGTCACACGATGCATTAGAGTATTGTATTAGAACTAATACTAACAGTTACAGTGCTTTAACAACAGCAGTAAAATTTATTATCAAATTTAGTTCAAAATTTCGAACTTTTGTCCTTCAGTTTCAAGACAAAAAAACGCAACATAAACATAAATAGGCTTTGATAAATAGAGCACACTGTTGCACATAATATTATGCAGTAAAAAATCGATAGAAACTTCTAGTAATCATTCGCACGAACGAGTATGATGTAATGTTACAGTAGACTACTGGTTCTAGATTCATTCTCGTTTGTTGATTAAATAAATATATAAACTAATGTTAGACCTGGCAAATGGCATCACAAGCTATATTACGCTTCGCTAAACTTTTAAAGTGTAAATTAATACTGACGAACTCTATGGATTAAAGCATGCATATATTGACAGTAAGATGAAAAGTGATATAGGCCGTGTAAATATCGCAGTCATCGATTCCAAATGACTGACTGCTACGCTACACACTCATTTTCTGATCTCTAGTACTATATCGTCAACACAATTGTGTAGGCATAGAGTCTCTACTGGAATCATCATTAATGCGGTGCGAAACCGCATTCTAACAATCAGCGTGGTGTTTTTTAATACGCTTTTTTGTGTCATTTTCTCAAGCTGTTTGTTCAAGAGCTGAAAAGTGTGTAGAAAAATATAGAGCGGACTCTGAATATGGGGATGTCCTATTTTGTTAAGTTTCTTGTTTAAAGCATCTAAAAGATGGTCGATTGACGTTTTGGGACATAAAACTTTTACAGCAGAAAGAGATAACTGGCGTCGTGAGTGTACACGCGCCATGTAGGGTGAAGAGAACATCTTTTTCTCTTATTTTATGAATAAGATCATGGTTGATCTCGAGGGGTATCATAGATCTCAATTAAAAGGTAGTAAAGTACTGTTCCTGATACAATATGTTAATACAAATGTGTACCAATTAAGACAAATACTCAGCGTTTTTTATAATGAGATACAGTTCACTTGTCGGTTTTACACGGACCCACTCTTAACGACGATCCTGGAAAAACGTACGTAAAACCGTCAATTATTATCCTCTATCACAAGTGTCATAGAATGAAGATAACTAGTCTAACGGTGATTGAGAATCGGTTCACTCATCCTTAAACGATCAACCCAACGTTCTTGCAAAAGATAGATTCAGCCTGAAAGTGTTTTCAGTGTTGTTGGTTAAACGGCTATTTTACGTTCTGGTGGATGATTACTTTGCTATCTGTCAGACGCAAGTTTACAAGCTATGAAATCAAATTGCAACAGTGTTGAGTATCCCAGATTAAGTAGCGCTCCTAATCTTTGCTTTCTGAACTTTTTTAGTTCAACTTGTAGAAGCTAATTTTTTTGAAAAAGATTCGTCATGAAATTCTTTAAGAACTAATCCAAAAATTTTAGTCCACGCTGTGTGTGTGAAAAAGCATATGAAATACTCTGAAAGCCACCAAGATGTTAAACTCCGTAATTTCTTTTGTATGTATCTAGATTCTTTTCTTGGCGGTTTTATGTTCATTAAAAGGTGGAAGAGCTGCTCTTTTTGTACCTTTGAGTGTGCTCTTTCTCTTGGTGTATAGGAGGGTCGGTTTTTATTAGATTATATCACACATATTATGTGATATTCGGATGCTCGGTTCTCGAGTTAGTTTTTTACAAGACCTATAGGTCTTGTAAAGAATTTCACGACGGATCTTTTTCAAAAAAGTTAGCTTCTACAAGTGAACTAAAAAAGTTTAGAAAGAAAAGGTTGGGAGTGCTATTTAGTCTAGGACATCCGATACACAAGATTGGCTCGACTTGCTGAAAAGTATTGTCCATATAGACTGAAGACCAGATAAACTTCTACTTCAGAAATCTTTAGTTATTCTATACAAACAATTAAGTTAGCGTCATTTGTGGTTTATTAGAAAAGTGTGCATTCAACAATAGCATAATACTCAAGTAAAAGTGTCTGCAACTTTCTTTTATGAATCTGTACAGATTGTGTAACTTGCATATGCAAATATTGTGTTACAGTAAAAATATTTCCAGTTGTGAAGAATTTGCTGCTACAAGTCTTACTTATATTCTGCAAGCTTCCGTTGAGGATTTGATTCAAATTTTATCCAAATTTATACAGATATTCGTTGCAGAAAAAGGTCTCCCACAACCTATAGCTTGTACAAATAATTACTAGAAGTTTCTATAGGGCTTTTACTGTATAATATTATGTGCAACAGTGTGCTCTATTTATCAAAGCCTATTTATTTTCATGTTGCGCTTTTTTATCTTGAAACTGAAGAACAACAGTTCGAAATTTTGAACTAAATTTGATAATAAATTTTACTGCTATTGTTAAAAGAATCTTATTCTTGTTTTAAAAATTTTACCCATCATAGAAACTAATTAGCATTAGCATAACTAATCGCATTATTAGTAATGCGACTCAAAGGATTAAACTATAAAACATATTTCTGAGTAGACTAATGAGTAACTGCGTCCATGTACGCTCGCTTATTGAACAAAGCTTAAGCATATCTCAGAAAATATAGAACGGTTTATTAGTTATCCATTAAAATAGAAAGAGAATGAAATGATCGAATTCTAAATTCTTACCTATCCTCTCAAACTTACTTTAGATGCTTGGTCGTGGCGAATTTTTGCGTCTGTTATTTGCAGAACTTAACGTTCCGTACAATGAAGTCATGCAAGGAAAATCGTTTCAAGATGGTTATGGTATTCAACAAGAGATGAAAAAGTCTCACACTTTCTTTGCCATACCAGCTATTGAACATGGTGATATCTTCTTATGGCAAACACCCGTTATGGCTCGATATATCGCTCTTCAATGTGACGAAGGTCGTCTGATGCCTAAAAATGAAAAAGATGATTTGTATGCACAAGCACTCATGGCCACGTTGGTGGATGTCGTAGGTGAAGGACATGATGCATGGCATTCACCGGATCATAATGCAAGTTATGAAAGCCAGAAGGAATCTAGTGCACTGCCCATTAAAATTTTCATCGAGAAACGTTTACCAAAATTTTTTGATTTTTTTGAAAATTCATTGAAAAAAAATGGTAATCAGTTCTTTGTTGGCCAGTCACTTAGCTATGTGGATGTGTGCATGTTTCACTGGTTAGATGGTATCGAATATCAGTTACCAGAAGTGTATCAACAAGCAAATATTCCTACGTTAAGAGAATTCAAGAAACGAATTGCACAACGACCGAATATCGCCAAACGGCTAGAAACACGAACAGAAAAATACGATGGTACTGGACCAATATTTTAAACTGAAAATTTCAAGTGAAAGGGTTTGAATAATTTCTGCTAAATTGTTTGTTAAAAGTAGTGTTTTACTGACAAAAATCTTTGGAAGATGGAAAGAAATATATAGTTTACGCGTTATAGTCTACAGAGACGTAACTCGACCATCCAAGCAGAATGGGGATAAATAAACTTTTTAGCGAATATCCACACACTACGGATAGAAACGGGCAACAATTTCTAATATTTTGTTTTTCTGATAACAGCGTGCCAGTTTCATAATTCTAATAACCATTTTGATGAAAATTTTCATTTCATTTCATTTTGCTGGAGGAAAAATAAAAAATCATAGAAAGTAGGATGGGGGTTGTCCCCATTTGATTATTACACTCCTAATAATTAGCAAGTACAGCATGATGCTGTTATACTTGTTGAACTCTTCATATTTTTCAAAAACTGTACATTTCTTGCGGCCATTTGACCTTTGAACATTTTACCTTACAAAGTTGACAACGGTAATATACAGGTTACAAAGACAGTACTCCTATGATATACTTGCAGTATTAATGATATCAACTCGACCTACCTAGAGGCAAGATAGAACATGAACCAATAGGAAAGGAACAAAATCGGCGTCAAATCTATTTGGTGTCATTCAGTACTGAATACACTTGTATTCAAGAAACATGGTTAAAAACATATGTATATGCTATGAGTTACTTTTAATTATTAAAAAAGTTTTATGAAATTTCACTCTCAAAATGTTAAATTGCGGAAGTTCTGCAACAGATCTTACTTTTTGAGCATATTGATTGTGTAACTGTACGACATCTGTACCTAACTATACCCGACACTCTTTTTTTCTCAATGCTAATTGGCCTTTTACAGAGGGAAAAAAAACAGTACGTACTCACGTTTCTGTTTTTCTCATTACACCATTAGATGGAGTGGAAAGACGTCCTACTATCAATATGCCTGAGATGATTTTACTTTATGCAGAAACTCTTCACTTTTTAATAAGTCATTTTTAAATAGAAAGTACTAAATATAGTCTACAAACAGCCAATCGCTAACGAACGATTGTCTATATATCTATTGCCCATTCAAAATAAGAATAACCCATGACTGTTTTTTTAATAACTCAAGAACGGAAGCACTTAGCGACCTGCGGTTTTCACCATCAGAAAGAGCGAACCGTGGGACGTAGACCTATGTAAAAATTATTCTATTATACAAAACACATATCAGGAATTTTTGAGTAAATTTTCCAAAAGCCATCAAATAATCAACATTTTTTTCGAAACCACCAACTTCCTATTTATCGCTGAAGGTCTTCTTTTTCAACAGAACAACTTCAAGATTTTATCTTGGTGAGTTCGAATAAAGAAGAGGTATGGCTCAACGTATATCTGACATTTGAATCAGTTGTCTTCCGAGGTTAATGGTCAAGACTAGGTATATTTTACTGCAGTTTTCAGTAAAATTTAAAGGCGTAAGTAACGCATATTTTTACCAGTAGACTCATCGTGTTTTATATAGGCCTACGTCCCATGCTTCGCTCTTTCTAACGGTGAAAACCGCAGGTCGCTCAGTGCTTCCGTTCTTCAGTTATTAGAAAAACAGTCATGGGTTATTCTGTTTTTGAATGAACAATAGTAATGGACTATTAACTAGTGTTAATAGTAATTATAGTTATCTAGATTTCCTGTACATTATCTTAATCCCAGATCATAAATTATTTCATAATTCACCACACGTACAAAATTATGTGCTCGAACTGGTTTAAGTCTGTTTTTAAAGAACTATAAAAACACAAACTACTATTCAAGATAAAACTGAATGTTTATGATTAAAGTTCAGTTGTATAAGATCCTGTTTCATCCATCAATAAAAACACATTTGAAAGTGAAATAGACAGTGCTTCACTCATGATTAAATAAAACATTTACGCTTTGTAACTTAAAAAAACGGCATATTGTTGTTATGTGAACGTGTAAAATAGATACAATAACTAATTTTTCTTTTGTTTTACTACATATCTTATATCTACATGGAGAAACGACAAATAAGAAAATAAGTCTCGCATGTATCTAATACATTTTAAATATGTACTTTCTTTCGTTTTTTCGCTATAAACAAAAACTAGACTAGAGCTAATCTGACTAGCAATAAAATAATCGACACGTGTCCAGTTTTTTTCGCTTCGTTTCTTATTCATTCCATTCCAAAATTTACTTCAATCAGTTACATCTTCTTCATTGTAACAAAATGTTTGACTCAAGACGTTTATTCGTTATATTCGTCGCGTTTTCTCTTCTTAACGGTTTAACATTAATTATTTTGTCTAGTTTAATTCTTCAACGAAATTTCTTATATACTACCTTCTCAATTATTGATCAAACACATTTTCAATTGGTTAAATGTTGTCGTTATGCAATTGCAATTGGATTTGTTTTATTGGCAAGTAGTATATTGGCTTTAGTCGGAGGAATATGGAAACGAAAATTAGTATGTCTTCGATGGTATTTTGTTTTAACAACAATAGTCTTTGTAATACAATTAAGTTTGGGATTAACAATGGCATTAGTTTATAGAGGAGGAGATGATAAGTTAATGTTTTGCAAGTAAGTATTAAGGGAGAAACATAAGTTAGTTAGTACGAGAAAAAAATTGATATTTCCCAAGATTTGATTTATTCTATTCTGAACAGCGAACAAAATTGATTAGACTGGCAAAAATATGAATATCAAATCTCAGAGAAGGAGTTTCAATAAGTGAGAGGAAAATATTCTATGTACTTTTTTTTTTTTGTTTTTTTTAGTGAAATGAAGTGTTCAAAAGAATGGGAATATTTGCAAACAAAATATCATTGTTGTGGTGATAACTCAAAAACCGATTGGATTGGAATTAAGCCCATTCCACATTCATGTTATGATCAAAATAAGCAATTATATTCACGTGGTTGTAAAGGTCTATTATCATTTGATGATTTAACAAGATTAAGTGAAGTAACTGTGTTCTTCTCCGTTTTTCAATTTATGGGATTATTGATGACAATCCGATATTTATATGAATTGCAATATAGAAAAGAAAATGTTTACATGTATTCATAAACAACTCCAATAGCAAGAAACAAACAGTGTTATTTTCTTTCTTACACGTCTTTTTTTTTTTATAGCTTTTATTTGGTTTTAAATACGATCTTTTTTTTAATATAAAAAGGGGGATTATTATCTGGAAGACTGATATTGAATGGTATTAGATTGTGTGCGTACACGATTAAATAAGAATGAAGGTTCTGATTCAACTATAACTATTTTTATCTTCAAGTATTTAGACTTGTTGTTAGAAACGTAATTTTATAACATCTCATTTTCACACGACATACCAAATTCTTTCTGGCCACTTCTTTATTTACATGTTGGTCAAAATAATGCGAAACAATATTATACATAACAAGAGATAACTAATATAAGAAAAACTATTCAAGAACTATAAACGTTTTCTTCTGCTTTTTTGATTATCTATTACAAAATACCGAGATGAAACTGTAACAATTTAAAAACTACTATCAATAAGGAATCTAAGTTTCAAAAATAAATTCATGATAATTTGGAGGCAATGTGCTTTCAATCTCAAGTTGAATATAAACTTTATAAATAATAAATAATATTCGCTTTTATTCTACGTGTTGCTACAAAAAACGGATAAAGCAACTTGTAGTTCATTCGGTTCTTTAGTGAAAATTATCATAGATCAGTTTATCTAGTAATTAAATTACACTAGATTAAATTACCTAGATATATCCTTCATAAATTTTTAAAAATTAATAGTTTGTCTCTATTTTAACAAGCTTTAACACATGTAATCAGAGAGATAATCAGTGCTGAGTAATCCGAGGATGCATAGGTAGCAGACGACTAATAACCATCATGCGTTTCAAAATAAAATGCACTCTGTACTACTTTGGGTAACTTTTGATGAAGACAATGTAGAGTTAGTTATTTCTTGAAATAGCAGTAGAGAATTAATAAGTAAAAGTTGAGTATAAAACTGCTACAAAATACATTTTGAATTCAAACTAAATTCACTTGTTATTTCGTTTATTTTCGAGCTTTCGATATGTACTCATACTATCATCAGGAAGATTTTTCTGCTTGTCATATGTTTTCCTGATGATGGTATGAGTACACAAATAAACGAAATAACAAGTGAATTTAGTTTGAATTCAAAATGTATTTAGAGTTGGTTAGTTACACCCGCTACCATTTCTGGTGTAGGTTGAGAATGACAATGTAGAGACATACGGTCGTCACCATTCGATAATCAATATTTGGAAACGTCTTTTCATAAAAAGAAAAGTTTAAAATTCATTGTCGAACATACAGTTTTGAGACAATCCGTCAGACTTTCTAAAATTTTAAATGCAGAAATATTTTTTTTATACAGACAGGATCGCAAATAGAAGCCGAACATTAGGAGAGTGTAAAACAAAATTTCTCTCTCTGAGGTAGTGTAAAATTGATAAAAAAGAACATTTTGTGCGAGGAGTAATGGATAAAATAACAACAGCTTTTTCAATTATTCAGGGAGTGCGCACCCTCCCGTTATTTGCGGCCCTGTATACAGATAGATATTTCAAACTTTCTTGCGAAAATAGGAGCCGTCCGGACTGTTAAACTATTATGGTTTGGATGTGGCATGACATTTTCTGAGCGCCACTGGACTAGTACGAGATGATTATGAGAACTTCCATTACAACTTGAATCTAAGATCAAGTTAAGCTTTGTGACAATGGTTTCTTTTTGCATTAAAAGTTTCAAAAATCTTATTTTGGTAAAGGAGAAGAATACAGATTGGTTTCGCACTTCGGATCATACAATCATGTATAACAACTAAATTAGAATATACTTTTAGGCTTTAAAGCGTTTTGAGCCGAATTCGTGTTCAAGAAACATAACCATGAAGCTCATCATGGTCCTACATTCCAGTTGTAAAGGATGCGTTCTCCAATCTTCTCGGAATCTAAGTTCCATTTTTGAAAATCCAAACGGATTCTCTCAAAACTCTACGTTCGATAAAGAATTTTAAACTTTTCTTTTTATGAAAAGACGTTCCCACGTATTGGTTATCGAATAGCAAAGATCGTATGTCTCTATGTTGTTTCTATCAAAAGTTACTCAAAATATTATCGCATATATTCTGTTTTGAAACGCATAAGACACTTCACATTTTTCTCATTAAAATATATAGTATCTATATTTCTCTTAAAGTGGAAACACATTTTTTTTTGGATCATTTTACGGTGTGAAGGCATCGTTAATTATAGCCACATTCTACTCAATCATAAAAGTGTTAATATGTAGACCAACTAATTGAAATATTTTTAAAGCTTTTTGATATTTTCCACATATTGACGTTGTTAAAGTTTCGAACTATCATCGAGCCTTACTTCTAATTTTCTAAAGAGTATGGAAAAAACCGACATTTTGAAATGTATATATTTTCAACTCTAGCAATAATCAGTTGTTTATCTCGTTAAACTACATCATTTCAAATCTTCTACAACAAGTAAATAATTCTGTATTAAATTTTGTTAGAACTACTCTTTAACGAAAAAAGTTTCTTGCGCTCTCGTGCCTGTCAGTTCTAGATAATCGTTGTTTCTAATGAAGTGACAAAAGAAGAACAGCCACCTTTTGAAATCCGAAGAGCGGAAAGTTTTTTTTGTTTCGTAACGCGTTTGTAAAAGAAAAAATACATTTTCAAATCAACAGATTCATGAACGTAGAAGCATCGCTATCGCCCCGAACACAAAAATGACAAGAGTAAAAAAAAATGCATTTTGGATGCTTTGTACTTGATAAAAGAAATATGTCTTAAGAATCGTAACCAAGAATTATTGTTAATGTGATGCCTGGTTTTATCCGACGAGTGGAACTATTTACATATTGCAGTCTTGCATGTTTCATGGTGAATAAGTATAGTCTACATTTATCTTTTCAAAATATACGGAAAGTTATTTGCATTTTTTTCATTATGCGTTTTGTTTGATATTGTGTGAAGCTCTTAGTGGCATTGTTCTAATACTAATTCAACGTGATAAATCACCAGAATTTTTCAACGAGAGAGATTGTTAGCTTTAATCAGTTTAAAGTTTCAAAGTTGGCTAGCAACATTACTTCAAAAATCTAATTTTGGAGTTAAATTAGTGGGTGCATCATGACGAGTTCATATTGCTAAATGTTTCTCAACAGTTATTCGTCTTTCACTAATTTTTAACAGCATTTTATGTACCATTTATTTATTTACGGCATCTTACTTATAAGAATACAAATACATGTAAAAAACGAAACGTATTAACCGTAATAGAAATTAACAAACAAAAAGCTAAGTACATACATTAAAGACTGTACAAACAAACAAACAATGAGTAAAAAAATTTATAGTGTAATACCGATTTTAGAACAATAAGCAAATGGATAAAATGCCATGGATATTCGCGTACAGTCATCATCGGACGATGTTGTTAAAAGAAAATAACGAATTAAAACTGTACAAAAGTAAAATAGAATTAAGAGAGTAAATAGAATAATCGATGGACGATATCTAAAGTAAAACAACAAAAAAAAACGCGTTTATCACCTCATTTTATCTAAAATAATGTACAAAAATTTTCAATCTAATAAGATTTTCAACTATTACATACAACTATCTATTAGATGAATGCTTTTGTGTTAAAAATTTAGTAAGAAGATTGAGACAAAATAATTACCTGTTCCATACTTTTTGTAATCGTTTTCTAAAAGAATATTTTTGAATTTTTATTGCAGCACGATTAGTATAATTATTTCTACTATTTTTTCGGTAATTTTTTCGATAATTGTTATTATTTTGATTTAGTATAGGCGATATGGGTAATATTTGATAATCATCTTGTGTCAGCGTTTTATTTAACACTTCTTCTACTTCTAAAGAATCGTCATAATCATTAAGATTTAAATCGGGTGTTGTACAACGAGATGATTGAGTATTGAGACCAGAATCCGTGGTGGTGACGGGTTGTTGAGAATCACATGGTGATGATAAGCGACGAGTACGAGAAGAAGAGTGACGTTGACTTTGTTCTGAGTGTTGACAAGTGTCAACGATATGCGGCATTGAACGAGAACGAATGAGACAACGACATGGTAGGAGGGAGGCAGTGGAATAATACAATGCATAATCCGAACGAAAACATTCTTTAAAGAAAGAGATGAAAAAAACGGTGATATTGGAGAGAGAAAATGCTAACGAAAAAGCTATACGAGATAGGAAAGAAGAATACCTTTGTCGACATCTAATTGTGCCTTTAAAGGAAAGATAGTTGTAAATATTATAGTTATACTCACTTTTCCAGAGAGTGAGTTCTGTATTTTCCTCTACGCTTGTTATACATACCTCTCACAGAATGGAACGGACAAACACCAGCAGTTAAATTCTAAAGCAATAAAAAGGATGAAAAGCTTAATAAATAAAGATATTCGTGTGAAAATTCAAATCGGACGCTAGTTTATAAGAATAAGAATAAAGACAACAGTAATATAAAGGAACATATCTTAATGAGCAATTAGATCCTTAATTACCTGAAGAAAAGTTAGACTTTAGAAGTGAAACTACTATCTATTTTAAAATATAAGGCTTGCGGATGTTTTTTTGAATAACTTTTGATAGAAATAAGATAGAGACTTGCGGTTTTCATCATTCAAAAGTGAAGAATCGGATGCCTGTTTTCAAAAGCAGAGATTTTTTAGAAGAGTTTCTCAAGTTAGGCTTCTTGGAGTTCTGTGGAAAATCCGATTATTAATAATCTGACAAAAAACACTAGAACGAATTGATAAAACGTCAGGATATGATCATTTTGTCTGCCAGATGTGATTATAAGATCCAATCAATTGAAAAATCATGTTTTTTGTCCAGAAGCTTTTCAAAAACTCTTTCGAAAACTATGGATTCTTTAAATTCGTTTTTGTAGATTTCTTATAAACAGAACATAAAATAGTATAAATACTGTATATCCTGAGGTTTTGAACTTATTCTGGTATTTTTTGTCGGAATATTGAGTTTTTTAATATTAGCGAAAAACAGACAAAAACTTTTCGTTTTCGAAAAATGCGGCTTTCGTTAGTTTTTAAAATCTTTTTCTAAAAACAAATATTGACACGAGCCTCATCATGATTGATTACCGATAGTTTACTCATTCCCAAGGTTACCAATAATCGCGGGGCACCAGTTCCAGAACTCTAAGGAGATTCGATATCATGCACAAACCACTGGAAGTCAAGATCTTGCTTAACTATTTTAACGAGGACCCTTTGTAGTATCAATTCATGAAAAAAAATCAATATAATCCTATTGAAAGTTCCTGAGAAACAAGCGGATTTTCCAAAAAACTCCAAGAAGCCTAACTTAAGAAACTTTTCGAAAAAGATCTCTGCTTACGAAAACATGCATCCACTTCTTCGCTTTTCGAAAATTGTGTTGGTACACAATTTGATTTAGTTTTAGAATAGCATAAATCAATTACACCTTTGTTAGAGTTTACTTACTGGTAATTTTGTACTTACAGTCAGTTGGGGTTTATTTGAACGTGACTTTCTTTTAGTGTTTTCTATAGAAAAATATACGATATTATAATTCTACAAGTAAGATAAATTTATGTGTATTTCTTACCATTTTGTTTATAGTCGAAGAATAACAGTTTTCTAAATAGAAGAATGTTATAGAAAAGGACTAATCACATACTTAGACTTAAGGTAAAACTGCATTCTGAGAATATATTTTCTAACCTAAATGTAGAAATTTTCTCTACTTCAACAATAAGTTCTAAAAGAGTTCCATTTATGTTTAAAAACTAGTTCAATACTCAACAGGATCAAAAATATATAGTTATGTTATGAAAACAATGTGTAATTCTATATATAACAAACTTCGATACAAGTCTCAAATAAAATGTTAAAAAAAGTTCGATTTCAACGTACTTTTTTGTTTTAAGTAATTCTTGTTCAATTTGTTTTAAACGTTTAATTTCCATTTGATAAAAATTTAATATTTTTTCAAGAGAAAATTGAGATATTGGTTCTGGTACCAGTTGACGATCAATCAAGCGATAAAAATTTGTTAAATCATTTTCAATTATATGTTGTTTTTCTAAATCAAGATACAAACCAAATGACTAAACGATTGACAAAATTGATCATTCAATCTACCTCGAGTAGCAACTAGTAACATTCGTAGTTTTCGAAATCTGTAAACAAAAAATAAAACGAAAATTGTTAACAGTGAACAGTCAAGTATTGTAGCACATCTAATTTCATCGGCAGTAACTAGTCTTCATTATAAAAGATATTAAACTTCAATTCGAGGTACTTCATCACTGTATTTAAAAACAGATATATTTTGAAAGTAATTAAATCCTAATGTACTCGACTATTAACTTACCGTCCTTCAAATACTTGTTTATTATCGATTATTTTTTTAATTAACGTTTTAATTGTAAGTAAATGTTTATTGAGATCTTGTGATGTTGACAAAATATGTTCTCGATCTTGTGCACATTGTGCTTTTTCTAGTAAATTTAATAAATGAACATTCATTGTTGAACCATTTGAATGTAATTCATGAAACTAGAAAACAATATGAAAAATATAATACAAAAAAAGTACAAAACATGTATAATTCTGTACAAAATACGTACAACATCTTTAAGATAATTATAATCAAATGTATCTTCTTTTGACAATAATATTTGTACTTCCATATCATCAATAGTTTCCATTTGAGATGAGTCCAAACAATTTAATACACATTCATTTGATATACAATCCTAGAACGAGGAGAGTACTTCTATAATTTATATCAAAGCAACATTAGTTTAAAATAGTGTTTTTCGCTAACGCTTATTAATTGATAGCTCACTAAGCAGTTGGCTAAGAAACATTAATATATGCTAATCTCAAACATATCGCTCTTGAGGTTGAAATGGAAGATATGTCAGTACTCAGCTAGTTGAATCAGTATCGGTGCTGATGAGTTCTTGACTGAGACCGATGCCTGCTTACTAACAGTGTTACAAACTGGTATACTTTCATTTATTATAAAAAAGGCTAACATACAACGATTAAGTTAGTCAATTCATAGGAAAACAATCAGACATACAATTGTGTTAATCTCAGCAAATAATGATTGTGCATCATTGGTGTATTGTACATTTGTTTTTCTTGAAATATTATTAACCGGTTCTTCTAATTCATCACATAAAAAACTTTCTTCATCACATAAATTTGACATAGATAAACGTGCTTCGATTGATTCAGTTTTAGCACTAAAAAATGATACTTAGTGTACATCATGTGTGAATATGATATAGTTCCATATAGATACATACCATCGCAATTGTTCACGTAAACTATCAATAGTTTTTGATAATAAATGAGTTTTCTTTGTCATATCCTATAATATAGTAAAATTTATCATTGTTATAAGACTAACGACGTAAGTCGATCGGATTGCCTTAACTCATCGAACAGAAAGTAATCTTTCTTCATCGAATAACAACCAATGGTAAGCAGTTGTCATACTAAAAATTCTTGTAAATTATGGTAGTAAGGCGTCATCGCTTACAAACACTGTCCAATTAAAGTCTGATATAGTTCATAGATGAAACAACAGATAAACGGCAGTCTCTTTTCACGTTACTTTTTTACATATCTACAGAATTCAAATGTATCACTTATGATTAACGAAACTTAAGAACATATTCTATTTTTGTGCTTAGATAAAATTTTAATTAAAATGATAAAATCTTCTCTTGATCTTGTTTTATCGTACCTTACATTCAAGGACATGTTTTTGTTTTCGAAATTATGTTTAAAACAGTTCAAAAAACTTTTGAAGGATGTCTTTATTATCAGTTAATGAAAATACTAATTATTAGAAAGCATTGTTTTCCGTGTAACTTTATACTAGCATATATAACTGTATTTGAACTTCGAGATCTAATATTACATGTTTTTGAATCTTTATTTGGTCATTCATGTGAGTTAGTCGGTGGTAATGGCTAACTTTTGATTCCAGCAACTGATGTTTGTGAGTAAGTGGGGTTGAATCACTTAGACGTTCAACTTTTCGAGCATTCATTCAACCTTATTTGGAAAAACCATTTACCTGATTAGCTAGTTCTAAATCGTTAACAGTTGTTTGTAAACATTTAATGACATTATCATTCTGTAATAAAGAAACGACGATTCATTAAATATGTCATAGTCACTTGTTGTCATCTTCGTTCTATTTTTTTTGTATTGTTTACTTCATTTACTACAAATGTGTTACTTACATCTTTCAATTGTGTTCTTGCCTGATTTAGTTGAATATCTAAACACTGTCGTATTTCCTAAAATAAAAAGAAACAAATTTCAGTCGACATATTAAAAATTTTCTCTAATTTGACGAAAAAGAACTATTATATTGTTTTTACTTACTATCTCTTTGTTTAAATTATATTCAGTATCAATTAATTTTTTAATACATTGATCACGTTCTTCATCAGAAGTTTTAATCTGAAAGAAAATGACACATAAATCAAATATATCATTAGGAACAGTTGTATTTTATTACTAACTTGTACTTCTAAATCAGAAATCGTTTCATAGCATTCAAACTTTTCGCGCTCACAAAAATCCATTTCTGATTTTAATTCTTTTCGACTATTTTCCAATTTATCCAAAAACATATGTAATGATAAATTTTCATTTGCATAGTGTAAACTACGATTTAAATCATCTTCTAAACTAAAACAAAGAACACATCTCTAGACACATAGCATTAGAACACACAGAGAACGAACAATTCGTCATTGTACATTAGTATTATAGCAACAAAAACATCCATTTCATCGTATGATAATGACATAATTAACTTACTTTGTCTTTTTTTTCACTAATTCATTTTTCTCTTGAACTAATCTTTGTGTTTCATCTTCTAATTTTTTATACTCTTCTTCTAACATATGAATTTTTTCTAGTTGACGACGATTCAGTTCACGTAATTCAGCTTGTTCAACTAAACATCTACATACAACAGAAACCAAAATACATTGATTAATTTCAGAATAAAAGAGCCTTACTTTTCATGATCATGTTTGTATCGTTTTAAAATGCGTTGCTGTTGTTGTTCAAATGGACTATCCGATACATCGTCACTTGTGCTACCAACACCACTAAAATCATTAACTAGAAGAAAATAATATTTTTAGAGTGGCAAAAATTAGATGAAAAGTCATTTACCTCTTCAGATGATTCGTAAAGTATCATAGCTGCTTAGAAGTCGCACTAGAACACATCAGAACACGTTTCAAACATATCTTTATCAAAGTCAGCAGAAAACAGATGCTTTAATTATTTCAAATCTGTAGGATAAAAGCTGTACTGTGTATTTTTCTTTTTTTTCGATGAAAATGCAACTTGCGGTAAATCAGAAAATTCGCTTAGGGAAGGGAAGAAAAATCTTCCTCTAGGGGAAAAACTTCAGTTCCAAAAGTTGATGAACAAAAAGGTGAAATGTTTAATAAATAAAATGTTCCTTTTGAGAAGTTGAATAACTTCCGAATGGAAAATGCTAAAAATGTTCGATTTTCACTATCATTTGTAAAAATAAACTATGTTCTATTCGAACATCACATTCACAGACACTCCAAACTTCTGAAACATTGAGAAAAAAGACAGAAACTAGATAGGTAGAGACTAGTTGGTATCAAGCGAGTGTCAGACGGAGCATTACCGTTGGACAGAGCATGGTCGATTACCCGACTTAGCTTCAAACGAACTAATTTTATCATGAGACACATGTCTAAAAAATTAGTTGAAAAAGTATCCGGTTTTGGTGAAAAAAAGAATAAAAACACTAGTTGGAAAGGGCTAGTTCTCTGATCGCGCACAGCAATGATCAAAGTCATGGTGTTTGCTTGAAACTTCTCTGCATTTTTCAATCTCAGATGAAGATGAACGATAAGACTTACATTTCTACGACTATCATCCGTTCTTAAACATACCACAGCTGTTAAAATTCCCAAAACTCTTACTTGATTTTGATGCTGATTTCGACGACGGAATGGATTTTGATACTGATGGTGTGGAATCATTGCTTTTATCAGAATTTCTACACAAGATAAATAACATCATTATTCTCTTCTTACTTAAAAATGTGTTCAATGAACATACGCGCAACATTTTTGATAGAGTGACTCAACGGCTTTGTGTAATGTATTAAATGTCACCTGTTGATCTCGACCACCCAATTCAGAAAGTAAATAATCAAAATCAATTTCAATCGACAACTAAATACAAAACGAAATATAAGATCTATAGGTAACTTTTTTTCTAGTAAAAATTTTAATCCAGAGCTTGATAAAGTTGTCATCACTCTCTTCTGTACTGCAGGGGCGTCTATCCTATAGGACGTTTGAGGTACAATGCGTCAAACAAAAGTAGGTGGGACGCGATTTTGATGCAAAAATTCATTTTCCAGGTGGTACACCGAAAGCTCGAATCTCTGATATGGTACAAAAGGCCTCAAATGCTTAGGTGGGGATAGACGCCGCTGCTGTACTGTCTATACAAATTCCATATTCCAACTACCAATAAATTCTTACCGTATCCGAATTTTGTTCGGCAACAAATTTGAAATGGCGAACCAATTCGCCAGCATTTACTCGTCGATTTTTATCTAATACACATGAATTGAATATGTGCAGTAAACCAAGCCGCTGTTGATCGTTATTCGTTTGAGATAATTTTAATGAATCAGTAGACAGTGATTTACGAACACTCGGTGGACAAAGTGAACCACTATTGTTAGCACACGTCATCTATACTTCTAGAAATAAGCAAAAATAGATAAAAAGTAGTTAAAACTTAATAAATGAGCATTGAAACTAATCACGCAAGCAAACATGGACTGAGAAACACAAGTCATTGATATTTTGATAGAACGGTTGCTATTTAGAACAAAAAAGTATATTTTCAGCCATTCATGGGATTGTTTTCTTGACGTTAGTCTACAACCATTCAAATGAGTTCTCGGTGTGCGCGCAAATTGTGGAATAATATTTTATGCATTCAGCAGTCGATATCACATGAAAAAATGCATTTATAGAGAAATGTAAAATGAGACAACGTAAGGGAAGAAAAACCCAACATAAAGTGAAATCGCTTATACTGTGACAGGTAAGATGGCAGTAGAAATCAACAAATGTCGCTAACAGTGGCAACTACTGGACTCATGGTAGTAGAGATTGTTGACCCACGAAGAATATATTGAATATACGCTGGGATTTATTGAAAAATCACCGGTGGATGACAAGTCATCAAAGGTATGTGCTTATAAAATGATGAACTCTGTTAAGACTAAGCGTACATAAAATCAAATATGGAGTCCAGTGAGGTAAATCGGCACGAAATTCTATCATGTACTATTTTAATAATAATTTTAATTTTTTCAATTTAGTGTTGTCGACGAGGAAGAGAAAAGTGCGGTGGATGTATTAAATAAAAAATGTGAAGCAGGCTTAAATTATAATAGACTTTATAAAAAGACAAATACTATACTTCCGATGTCTGGCTATTATATGTTAGGAAGTAAAAGTTGACACGAAAGATTAGAACGCGACTCTATTTAATCTGATACCTATAAATTTGGAGACAACTTTTGGAGTGCATATACAATTCATAAGTGAATAAGGAATTTGTATATGTAGAACTGTAGACGAGAAAGACTCACGTGTATTTTGTAAGTTTCGTAATCATAGGGCATTTACTAACAGAATGCGGATATTTTTCTGCAATTTTTTGTTAACAAACAAAAAGTAGTAAATATATTTGAGCTCAAGTATTTAGGGCACGTACTTTGCTTGTGTAATGGTGCCGGTACTTGTCTTTCCTCCTAGTGCTTGGCTCACTTGTAAGTACTTGACAAGTCCTCTATAAAGTAATTCATTACAATAAAGTCGAGTATCGTTATCTAGGAGAAGTACCTGTAAAAGTATAGATGAAGTGAGAAGTGAGTAATGGAAATAACTGCAAATTTTTTCAATTACTCAACAAGTTAATTAAGTACTTGGATCAAGTACGTTCATTAGGGAAAAGCGATTTCAGGAAACGCTCACAAATGCAAAGAATGATCTACTTTCTGTTAAAACTGTAGATTTTATACAATGTGATCTTCTATGTAATCTTGCACACTTAAATTTGTTATGCATCCTTTTTGTCAACATAAGATCGGCTAATGGACAGCACATGAAAGAGAAAATAGCAGCTGAAACATTGATCGTTCAAGTTTTTGTGATTGTTATTCTGATCTTTAATGAATAAATAGATGTCGCCTTTTAGTATTTTGTTCACTATGAATTGCTGATAATTTTGTGAATTACAGTTTTTTATTTTCGAGTTATATGTCATTAAAAAAAAAATATTGTCATTTTGTCACAGTTCTGTGTTTTTTGTCCTTACAAGAGGAAAAATAAAATTAACTTTTACTTCATATATACTTCATACATTTTTTTTCTTTATACAAACTTGTACTTGAGTACATACCCGAGGAAAATTTTCGTGTACTCGTGCTCGAAATACTCGTACTCGTACTCAAAAAAGTGTGTAGTCCAGGGCTCGAACCAGCCCAGGTAGCGTGCCTGTTTGCCTGGGTCTGCCTGTTACAGACAGGCCAGGCTACAAATTTTCGGCCTGCATCAGGGTAAGATAGACCAGACCCAAACTGAAATAAATTCAGGCAGACCTTTGAAAACACCAGGCGGCCTAGCCTGGTTATTAATGAACACCACCCTAGTCGAACATCTTGGAACCAAGATCTTGACATCTTAGATTTTTTCGAAAAGATCTTGGCAAGATCTTTCGTACAGGATGTCAAGATATTTTTGTTCCAAAGATCTTGTCCATGATCTTGTGTACAAAATCCCAAAAATTATCTTGTATCCAAGATCTTGACTGTAAAATGATTTCTACCCAAGATCATGGCTCAGGATCTTTGATACAGAAATATTTTGACATCTTGTACCAAAGATCTTTGAGTAACCGTTGGTTACCATTCACCGTCTTATTTTGGCGATGTCATCCTATATATGAACATCCTATTTTGTGTCTAATGTTACTATGTTTTCGTCGACAGCAGAGTCAAAACTCCATGACGGAGGCATTAGGGATCGTTCATCTTAGCGGATGAAATGTTCACCACTGAGCGGTGAATATTTTTGTTCCCAACACTTGTTGAAAAAATGCAAAGAAAAAAGTTATTTTTGAAATATGACGGTTTTTCAAACGTTCAAGATCCTGGGTATAAGATATCAAGGAATATCTGTACCCAAGGTCTTGCGTAAGATCTTGGGTGCAAAAAAAAATTGAAAATCCTAACGTAAGTTCTTGGGCAAGATCTTGATTCCAAGATGTTGGACTAGGACGTGCATCACTAAATCCTGACACGGTTGAGGATATCTTGTTAGTTAGATCAGTTCAGAAAACACTTGAACAAAAACCCAACTTTTTTTACTCAGATATATTGTTTAATTATCTGTCACATTTCTTTTTATCTTATGTTACTATTATTTGTACATTTTGTTTATTAAAAAAATAACCAGGGTTCTGCATACCAGGGTAGGCCGAGAGCAATGGCAGGCAGACAGGCAAGGCCCAGGAAATATATCGACAGGGCTAGACAGATTTAAAACATTACGGGCCTGCCGCAGGCAGACCAGGCCTCAAAAGTGTCGGTCTGTTTCGAGTCCTGATGTGTACTCACCCATCTCTGTATTTTATAGCTGTATAATAATTCTAGATTTAGTTTTTTGATATATCTACAATAATAGTATAGCTATTTCTGAGTCAAAATTAGATTTAAAAATTAGAACTAGGCATGTAATACAGTACAGAGCTGGGTAAGTCAGAGGTATGGCAAGTTATAAGTCAAGTCAAGTCTGGTTAAAAAATAGGCAGAACATAAAATTTGCTAGCGTCTTTAGGATGAGATACAGTTTTTATAGTTTCAGAAACTCTGTTTCACGATAAAAAATGCCTAATTTCACGAAAAAAATCTCTCAAGTCAAACCCAAAACATTTTTTGACCAAGTCAAGTCTGACTTGACTTGTCCGACCCTGGTACAGCACCGAAGTACTGGTATTATACTCATAATATGATGATAATTTCTAAAAATGATTGTTACCAGTAGTTCAGGAGCTTTTATAGAAAATAAGAATGAACGATTTGATGCAGACCGCTCAGTTTTCTCACATGTGTTATGTAAGAGACGAAAGGAATAGAGAACAGCTGAACGAATAGGTGAAGTCAAATAGGTTAAAAGACGAAGAAAAAAGATGTGAGGCGAAGAAGAAGAAAGATGTTTTTGTTCTGTTTTGATTTGTTTTTTTCTTGATGATAATAAATTATATCACTTACATAAAATAGAAAGGCGAACCACACATGAAATGAAGACATTTTTTATGGCTGTTGTCGGATTTATATAGTTGTCCATTCGCTTCGAGGAGAAGAAGATAACGTGAATGAAATCAAAATAGATTTGATCAAGCGGCTTGCTCACTGCAGACATGCCAAAATATATAAGTAAAAAATTCAAGTAACAATCGATCAATACTTCAAGTACTGGTATTGATACTGTTGCATGCCTAATTAGAATCTTTGCTTTTCAAAAAACTAAATTGGAACTCATTTGTAGTCGATCAAAATTGGTCAATATTTTTCTTGTTTTCACATTATTAAATGGAAATACAACCAATGAACATAAAGCTGATAGATACAAAAAAATTTTGGCTAAAGGTCGCTATTATCACCAAACTTCCCATGATTCTACAAGACGATCAATGATTTTTAATAAAATCTACTAGTGTCATAGACAATAGGTTATGATAGTTTATGTTCAATTTGGTAATATATTTAGCTGTTAGACACTTTAACGACAACTTAGCTTTATTTTTTAATAGATTTTGAATTTCTGTTCTTGCACAATCAAATGGTGTTTTACCACGACAATTCACTAAATCTATGTGCGCACCATGTTCAATCAGATCTGTTATTATTGTAGAAACATCATTACTAAATGATTTGGAACAAGCAATAGTATGTAGTGGCGTATTTCTATCTGAATCAAATGCAGTGATATTAGCACCATTTTGCATTAATAATTTGGCAGCTGATGAGCAAGGAAATCTAAAAATGTAGAACAAATTCTATGCATAAAAATTAATAATGTTTAAGTAAGTACACCTACTGAATATTTTTGATCATATCAGGCATAGTGGAATTTACACATAAATGTAAAATTGTTAAATCAGTACCGGTTACTTTAAAATTCAAACGATTTATACGATAAATTAATTTTGAAATTAAACGTTGTTCATCTTGAGTTTTTAGTATAATTACCTATAAAAATATAAAATTTTTCTAGAAGAAATATTAATTAACGTTTCATTTATACCTTTGATATGATAACAATTAAATATAAAATTAGCCAGCAACTTTGAACATTGTTGTTTTTCTGTTCAGAAATTAATTCCTCAATGATATTCTGAAAAATTTCTACAAATATATTAATCTCTATATTTACATTAAATATTCTCATTTCATTGAATAATTTAACAAATCTTTTTAAATCTCTATTCACCGATTTACCATTCATTTTTTTAAGATTTAATGCTCTTAACCATAATGCTATACATCGATCATACTTCTTTTCTCTACGGTATACATAGCCTATATATAGAATAGAGTCAAGTGTAGTACTACTAGTTACACCTAATAATCTTTCACAGATAACTAATATTTCTAAATATAATGCATTAGAATTAGAATGAATTTTATTTAGTTCATCGATTGTTTGAGATTCAATATGATATTCATATACTTCTAATGGAAGTAAAATATTTTTTAAAATTGGTTTTGTAAAATCAAAATATCTTAATTGAAGTGATTTTAATAAATAATTATATGTTTTTTCAAGATCATCATGACAACAATAAGATATGGCTAATAATTCTAAAGCTTCAATATATTCTAGATTTAAATTATTCATAAAATATTCTACGACTAAATCTTTTAGTTCAAGAGCAGCAATCATTAAAGGTGTTAATTCCATATTATCTTTCATCATGATTGCTCCATAATTAATTAAATATTTAACAATTTCTACATGACCTTTTTGACATGCATAATGTAAAGCAGTCCATTTAGAATCGTCAATAAGATTTACATTTGCTCCCATTTTTAATAAATATTCACATATTTTCACATGACCTTTATAGGCTGATACCATTAGACAAGTATTATTAAAAAAATTACCAACATTAATATCAGCATTATTTTCTAGTAAATATTTAACAATTTCTAAACGACCATCAAAACAAGCAACTCTCAATGGTGTTGATTTTGTTTTAATATGATGTCTAACATTTGCACCATAACAAATCAATAGTTGAACAATATTTAAATGTCCAGATGCTGTTGCACACCATAAAGCTGTTACTCCATTAATAATTTCATTATCATATTTAACAACACCTTCTAATTCAATATTAATATTAAAACGTTTTAATAATATATTAATTACATTATAATAACCTTTAATAGATGCAATAATTAAAATATTCCATTTATTTTTTTTATAATAAATTAAATCATTTATAAATGGATTTATTTGTTTTGGTGATACATTAGTTAAAATTATTTCAAGAGTAGTACAAAGTTGTTTTGATTGCCATGGATAACGACATCGTTCACATATATTTGTTTGAATAAATTTTTTAAAATCATTTAATATTTGATATCGATATTTTGTTTCTTTATTTAATTGTTTTATATTATTTATTATATTTGATATATTTACTCCATTTAAAAACATATCTTCATCTTTCCATTTACCTTCAAATTGTATTCCATCTGGATATATAATTTTACCATATCCATGTCGTTTACCATGTTTCCACATTCCTATATACCGACATCCATCTTCATATTGACATTGACCAAAACCGTGAGCAATTCCACCATCATTCCATTCTCCATCATAAACATCACCATTTTCACATGTAATCATACTTTTTGTTTCATCATAATAATTCCATCTACCCATAAATGTATTACCTGATTTCCATGTTAAAATACCCATATACCACATATCATTGAACCATTGACCAATCCAAGTGATACCTTCTGATCTTTTATATGTACATCGACCTTCACCATGTCTTTTACCATTTATATATTGTCCTTCATATCGACATTTATTTTTATTATACATTAAAATAACAATATCAACGGAAAATAGTTTCATATCTATTAGAGGAGAATAAATTGTTACTTGCCTCTTAAATCGATATTTGTTTAAAATAGAATATTTTATCGATGTATCTGAATTCAATATATTAATTTTCATATCTAAAAAGTAAAAATAATAAAAATTATTTATTTTATTCGTGAATATGAATACCATATGAAAATCATTTGTCATTTAAATAAAGTTGAAATTTTATCAAATTATGTCTAGAATAAATCTTATTTAATTCATTTACCTGCTTCTATTCTAATTAATGAAAGTAATTATCTAAGACATAATATAATTTAACAATATAGAATTATATACTCTATAATGTAATGAGCAACTGCATTTTGTTTCATGTGACTCATTGAATAAAATTTACACGACAATAATCCCGTTTCTTTTCTTTTTCCATGTGGTTGTATGTGTATTTGAATAAGAAGAGAAAAACAGACTAACATGTGAGGTTGTGCTTTGTTTATAAAACTAGACTGAAAATAAACAATTTATTTAATCAATTTAATTTAATCAAGTGTACTTATTTCGATTAATTATTTCATTTGTGAAAAGGGATAAATGCACTGCAAAGGAAATATTAAAAAAAATTTTATTTTATTCTTTTTTTTTAAAAAATATTAAAGTTAAATCGAAATATTGATGATGCCAAAAATGACTACAAACATCAATATATTGCCGGAAGAACTCCCAAAACCTTAATAAATGCCGACTTATACTATTTTCAAAAGTTTTAATCAAAATATGTGCATATTTATTTCAATACTGATGAAATTATTGTTTTGTTTAACATGTTAGACATGTCAAAGAAGGGTTGAGTGAGTCCACGAGGGTATCGAGTCCATTTCGAGTCTGGTAATCTTTTAGATTCTTTTTTGATAATTGTGGTTTATTTTTGTTTTTTTCTGTGCCATGTAATACATCAATCTTGTTGAAATAGAAAAAGTTACTAAACTAAACTTCTATTACATTTTAACAATGTCAGTGGAGATAGATTTAGTTTTCGTAAAACGTGCTCTTTCGCGCCTAATCAAAAATCTTGATTGAGAAATAATACGCTCAATGGATGCGGATGTAGCCGAAACACATAAAAAAGTTTTCTAGCTAATTTACTGGGACCTGGATAGTTATTCGATTTTTCGAAAATAAGATTACTTTGCATATTCGTCTCCGGCATAAAATTTTCAACTTTTTATGAAACAGAAGTTGTTACTTCAGCTTTCATTTTTTTTGACATTGATATTGAATGAACAGGTGTAGACCGTCCTTCAATTGTATCAAACTCAGAACAATAAAAATAAAGAAAAAATTTAGTGTTCATTTATGTTAAAACTTGAATCGATCAGACTCGAAATACAAAACTCAAGTTCAAGTTCGAGTCTTTCCAATGAATCGCCAGTCCAAGTCCTCAAAAAAACCTTCTTGTCCGGACTCGGACTCGCTCATGCTTTTCGTAAATTTGATATAGTTCGACCAAAAAATGCCGTAGAGAGCTAGGGGACATCTCATTTTGTAGAGAATTGTTTGCTCTGCTGTTCTAGGTAGTTCGAACAAAAATTTTATTCGCAGGTTCTAGGTGCTAGAAAACTAGGGTTTTGATTTTCTAGAAAACTCTATTACTGGGAATCTAGTGCTGATTTTTAGTTTCTCAAATCCTTGTTGGAAACAATTTTCCCTATTCAGGTCACTATTTGAATTCTTTTTAGCATTTTTGGCTGCGGAAAAGATCGAAAATACACCCAGTTGATCAATTTTTGTAACCGTTATAGTTTTTCAGCACCTAGAACCTACAAACACAATTTTGAAATTCATTGTATTTATAGTTTTCAGAAAATGAAATTTTTTTATTCTTGATAACAAATGAATGTAATAAAATAATGCTTTATTTCTTTACTATAAACAAAACCTAATTAATTGAGTAATGATGAATAAATTACGGAAGGTGCTTGGATTTTTTAACGCATGTACAAGAGAAAAACAAAAAAACGCATACACGTATATTACTCACACGTTTATTGACAAACTGATATCTGTGGTATGTATGCGATAAAGTATGTAATAATGAAACAAAAAAATCTGTATTGTCTAAAGTACCTGATCTGTATTCAAAAATGTTGTGTGAAATAAGTATATGGGGTAATTTTATAACAACATGGATGGCATTAAGTTTAATCGCATTCGTTGTCCTACTCTTCTCTTCGGGTACGATATTTTATCGTTACTACGTCAATATTACCTATGAAAAATGGTTAAAAAAATCGAATCCAAAATATCCATCTCCCGAAAGTATTCGTATGGAAATTATTATGATGACAAAAGGAATGTTATCTGCCACTTTATGTCCATCAATAGCTCTTCATTTGAGTCAACAACGTATGTCACAAGGTTATTGTGGTGTCAATGAATATGGATGGAAATATTTAGTACTCAGTTTTTTTATTATCTGGATAGGAACAGACTTTTTTGAATTTTTCTATCATCGAATTGGTCATACAATTGATTATTGTTGGAATGTGCACAAGTCTCATCATCAATTCTATAATCCTACACCATTTGCTGTCATTGCTGATGAATATACTGATCAATTTGTACGAGCATTACCATTGGTGATTCTTCCAATAATAATGCCAATTAATATGGATTTACTTTTCTTTGAGGTAAAATAAAAATGCCAACTACAGAAGAAATATGTCCTTTTTTTCTTCTGTTTAGTTTGCAATATTTTTTTATGGTTATGGTGTTTATCTTCATTGGGGACATGAATTAGATTATCCGGATGCTCATCATCCTATAATAAATACATCATTTCAACATTATTTACATCATGCTGTTTCAATTAAAAATAAACCGTATCATACGGGGTTCTTTTTTAAATTATGGGATCAATTATTTGGAAGTATTTACGATCAAAAATGTTTTTGTGTCAAATGTGAAGTGAAAAATGGAAATCGAACACATGAGCAATATTTGAAAGTGGACAAACCAGACTACTCAGTATTATTGAATATTAATTTTTGGAAAAAAGCAAAATTTTAAAAATATAATTTTGTTCTCGTTATTGCAATTTGATGAAATTGACTGATTATTTCAAAACAAAAAGAAAATAAAAATTAAACAGCTGCTTCCTAAACATAATATCAGAGAATAAATAAACTTATGATGCTAATCCAAAGAGCATAACATACAGTGGGATGAATCACACAAGATATCTGAAAGATCTTCTTTAAAAAGTTAGTTTATTTTGACTAGATATCATGGCTAGGTAATTTGTAAAGCTGAAATTCTTTTTCCAATTGTAACTTCGACAACATATGTATATAACACTATATGTATTTCTTTTTTCTTCATAAAACAAAAAAAGATAGTTATGGCGAAAGTGTATCATATTCTCGATTTCAAAGTGGGCATGTTTTTCCACTACGACATGTTATCACAGTCTTGTTCAATTGGATCTGTATTAGACTTAATTCGACGTCACTGCATCTGTCTATTTAAGATAAGTCGAAAATATGAGATTTTCAGTGATTGCAATGCACAAGTTCATGAAAATGAAGATCATACAATATCGGATTTTGCTTGTGTAGTAGTACTGAAATTTCTTTTATGACGAACAGTTACAGTTGTGCAGACGCATAGTTTTAGTCAAAACAAAGTGTCATTATTGACAGAGAAGAGCACTTCTTTTATCAGTATCTTGCAATTGATAATGTCAATATTGGTGCTCTTAGAGAAATGCAGATTTGAATTTTATTAGAACAAGCAAAGAATGCACTGGAATGTGTGACTCGACCCCGACGTAAATTGACTCTTTTGCGAACACCTGTGTTTATGATAAGGATTGATAAGAGAAATGGTAAATACTTTTCCTTTGTAACATAAGCTGAATCTAAAGGGTGTATTTCGTTCAGAATTCAACACTCTATAAAGCTACATGTGACTTGGTCGGTAAATGTGTGCTTTTCGAGAGACAGGCTCCGTCAAGATCCTCTTTAGGACTTCTTAGCCCCAAAAAGCTTTTTTGTGTTTTGACCATATGCATAATACTCCATCCGACTCAATTTTGTTTGTAGATTGCGAATATGGCGTTAAAACTGGTTGATAAGTAAATCAGACCAGAAAAAAACAAGTTCAAATCCAAAATATACCTTAGTCTGGTATACTCTTTTCCAGTAAAGATTTTTTTCCTATAGACGCACATGGATTCAGATCTCTGTGTGGCAGATAGAGCTCATACTCATACAGTTTTCGACAAAATTAGAATTTGGTTCTGCGTATCGTTTGGGTTTTATAGTTATTTTACTGCGCACATGTAATATGGGGTACCCTAGACATCGATTTTTAGATAAGGATGTCACAAGACACTCACAAGAAACATACAAAATACTTATCGGCTTTTTATAAGTTTCTGATAAGATTCTTATATAAGATGTTGCATGGAAGTGATAAGAAAATCAACGTCTATGGATCTGCAAAATCACGACAGTTTTCTTGTCAGAATCAGATAAGAATTTTATAAGAAGTTCATATGAAATTGGTAAGAAACTGGTAAGATTCTTATAAGATATTCATAAGAAAGTGACAAGACGGCTCGTTACTTTCTTATGAATATCTTATAAATTTCTTATAAGAATCTTATCAGAACCAGTGAATTTCTTATCACTTCCATGCAACATCTTATATAAAATCTTGTAAGAGTCTTATCAGAAACTTATAAAAATTGCCAAAAATTCTTTCTCTACGGTATGACCGATTTTATTTCATAAATGACCCATTTTTCCTAGAAGAACTAGCCTCTATTGCTCATTACCGAACTAGTTTACACAGTTTTCATTGCTTTACAAGAATATGAGTAAGACAACATCTCATTGTACTACATTATCGAATATCGACTCTTCTCCTTACATCAATAACGATTAAAGACCAAAAACATGGTGACACCCAGATCTCGGTAACCAGAAGGTATTAACCTAAACCCAATACAGTTTTAGATCCATCGTGAGAAGCTCTACAAAACCTGATAGTTCGACATACTTTTGAAATTCAACAGGGTCCTTTAGGCTGTATGTTTACAAAAAAAACTTTTCTTTCTAATTCTATCCCAGATAGTGAATTCCTGATAGATGGGCATACTTGCATCGTCTAGATGAACCTGCATTTGCCAGAGGAGTAGCAATTTGCATCAAAAACAGTTTATCCTATACTTGCATCTAACAATCAAATTGAATTTCAACTTTTGTCTATAACTTTATCTAATACTGTTTTGCACAGAACTACACAAGTCCAAGTCTAGACTAGTAGATTTTTTAGTGGACTCGGACTGGAGATTTTGTATTTCGAATCCGACGGATTTAAAATTTAATAATTAGAATCTTTCTTACTAAGCAAATCACCAGATTGAGTTGCTCATTTTTTAATAGCAGTTGGTTCTAACGCAGATCCTTCTTATACCCATAAATATAGTGTGTTGTGCGACTTACTTTCTTTTTCGCTAGTCCGTACTTTTTCTCTTTTCTATGCAATTATACATTACAGTCATTAACAAGAACAATGATCTGTCTTGATTATATCTCATATCCTAAAAGTTGAAATGTACCAACACTTTTTGATTATCAAACACTGGGAAAATCTGTTCACTTCACTCTATAGTCTCGTTTGACAATTTATCAATTGAAAGGAAACTACTTCAATATAAAAAAGTTTAAGAATTTTTCTAGATGGAATTTAGTTGAGTTATTACATAAACTAGAAAATATAACAGGAAATTTCCAATCGGAAACGGATATTGAAGTAGCCGTTGACATATGGTACTCTCATATTATAAAATGTCATAACAAGTGTGTTCGAATTAAAGATATTTCTATTATTTCGTCGACGGCGATTCAGTTATAAAAACAAACGCGTAAATTAATCAATAAACGTAATAAAGCATTCAACAATTTTGAAAACAGCTCTCCATTAGATAAGTGTCACAAATATTCGTTTTTTAATCAAACCAGAAACAGAGTCTTGTACTCGATGAGAAAAATATTAATCAGCCTACTAAAATCTATTTGATTTTATCAGAGACCAAGCAGGACGCATATCTGTCTGTTTAAAAGGCATACGTGAAATGTTTAATAAATATTTTTGTAGCGGTTATACTCTTATCAACGTCTAATAAAAGGGTCATGTATTCTTTTCAAACTATGACCGACGCCAACGTTCGTGAGGCTGTTAATGACATAACGGTACCTCAGCTGTTGGTACTGATAATATACCGGTAAAAATTCTATAAATTATGTTCATCAATAGTTATACAACACTTAAAACATATTTTTCAACTCTCTATAGATAACAGACTTTCCATAAAACAATAGAAAACTGCGATAGTAACTCAGTTTCACTTTTATGATTCTAAACTTTAAAAAATGTTCATGAACTTGTTTTTCTGTAAGCTTTTTGCCATCTGCGATACTAACAATCAATACCGACAGTAGCGTCTTACCGTACGAAACATCATCAAAAACCAACAATATCTATTTTAGTGAAGATTTACATTGAAAAACTCGTATAATAAACACAGGATGTTGGAGACGATTAATCGAACATTTTGCAATGCGCTTAGTTCAGTTAGACTGTATCTATATAACACTTGCATGCCAACTAAATTAGGTTATGGCTCGGCTCGTTCAATGCTCGTTTTTCTCGAAAAGCGTGGGAGGTGGTTCACAAAACTGACAAATTAGAAGTAGCTTAACACGAAAAATAAAACGACACTTTATATTTTTATATAATCACTTTATATTTTTTTGATCTATGTAATTATAGTTGGAAACGAACTGATAAACCGGTATCTGGCCGGATGAATCTGTCTAACTGGCCGACTCACGTTGATTTTTCCTGGGCTTTTATCGCAAAAAAATTCATATTTTCCCAGGAGTTTCTGGGACTTTAGTTGAAAAGTGAGAAAAATACTCAGTTCTTTTTAGAAAAATTCAAGATTTATAACAGAATTGTGCAAAACTGTTCCTACAGCTGTACAAAAAGTTTCTATCCCGGTGATATTTGCTGTCTACGCGTAAAACGGCGCGTGAAATTTTAGAATTATGCATCCATTCGATTTTAGCACTGTTTCAAGAGATAACTATGAAAAATACGAGATAGATGGCCAAAATGTTTAACAAAATGAATTACATTATGATGACATTTACTGAAAATTCCATCAACATAGAACGTTCTTTGAGGGAGACAATTTACGATAATTTATATACTACATACCGTGATTGATGAAATCTGTCTAAAGACTAGCGGCTCGCATCATTACAAAAAAATTTTCAACTCAACGTAGCAGAATATCTATGTAAAAAAAACTCTTGTTTTCTTTAAGTTCCTATGATATATCATTCCTTCTACTATATTGGATGCATGTTTATGTTTTATTAACCTGAATGTTTTTTTGCATGTACCTAAACTACTTCTTAATCATCTTTATTGTTGTTTAATCCTTTGAGTCCGATAGTAGCAAAAATGCAACACATATTTTATAATTATTTTTCAGAACGTAATTTATAGAAATTAGTATGTAATCTCTTGGAATGAAAAACAATGGAGAATCAGTCAATTAATATAAGTGCACGCGCGCGAGGTATTTGTGTTATGTGTGTTTCTATGCCTAATATAAGTAACGGTCTACTTCAATTAAAAATAATTTTAGGCTCAAAGGGTTAAATGAAATTAATAAAATGAAAACTGACATATTGTCTTAGATGTCAGATCAATAGGATAATCTTTGTATAATTATCTTCCATATAATTCCATTAATTTAGTAATTTCAAATATATTATAACCAAAAAACGAAGATTGGTGAAAATCTCGATGATTTTCCAACGTAAAAATTCGAAAAAAATTAAAGTACTCGGATAGGATAGAGATATACATACATCAGACGATTCGCTTTTTGATCTTGATTCCGAATATGACATTTTTATTTTATAGAAGTTAAGTGCTGTTGGAGATAATTGAGAATTACGAGGAGAATTCCAACTTTTTCACCTCTT